CACTGTCTTTTTAAGAAACTTATACCTGTCTGGCAACATTATTTCAATCCAGGGGATTTTCTCTCTTGGCAGCTGTCATTTAAAAAGATAGTGAAAGGAGTGCAACTTTCCCCAGGAGAAGAGCTTGATCTTCTGGAGTGGAACACAATCTGCAGAGCTGGCTAAGAAAATACCTGCAGTACATGTCAACCACCCCAGTGTTGGACTCAAAACAGTATGGGAGCGATTAGAAGAAAACTTCAGTAAGCCAGACGTTGTGTCCATCTCCCTGATAACAAAGGTGCTAAACACCAGGAAAATGGGCAAGACAGATTACCGTGCTCTTAGAGATTTTGGGGATGCCTTACAGATGCTAAAATACGCCAAAGAAGATAGCAGCCTCCCAGGGCTAGAATATTTAGACACCTTCACGGGCATCAATCCTCTTGTAGACAAGCTACCAGACGATCTGCAAGATAAGTGGAGGTCCAGAGCCCATCATTACAAGCAAACCAACGGAAAGTTCCCACCCTTCATGGTCTTCTCTAAATTTGTCAGAGAGCATGCTTTAGAAAGATGTGAATGCAGCTTTCCAGTAAGGCTAACAGAGCAGCCTGAGATCAAGTTTCCTTCCAGGATGTTGGCTCCAAGGATGCATAGTGAACACAATGTGAATGTTCACAAAACAGATGTGACAAAAGCTACTCAATGTCCAGTCCACAAAGAGGGGAACCATTCTGCAGAAAAGTGCCGAGTGTTGCTATCCAAACTGCCCAACAAAAGAAGGGAAGAATCAGGGTTTTGCCCCAAGTTGTATCGCCACAACGTCCCAAAAGGCTAGAGACTGCAGAGCTGAAGTAAAATGTGGCAAGTGCGGTAGTGAGGGGCATCTAAAGATTCTTCACACTGAGATGAAGCGGACCCCCACCCCTGAAGTACGAGTCCATGGCAGGGAGAATGGTGCAGAAGAAGTGCGTACTTCATGCACGGAAGTATGTGGCTCCAGTCTATATTCCATTACCTCCCAGACAGGGAAGTAGCAGTGTGACCACGTCATCTAATTTTATTTCAAAGTCATCCCCAATGTTAAGTGGCCAGTCACAAATCAGTTGCGATGCGTCGGGGATGGGTAAAACCCAGGAAATTTGAACGAAATCTTGAGACAGATCTCACGATTTTGCATCCGTCGGAGGCGCTCTCCGGACGCCTGCGGGTTGTCGCAGATTTTTTAGACATCACCACACCCGTCGCGGTCCCCAGCTTTGAACTTAAAATTTTAAGATTGCTCGCAAGATTTTTCACCCATTTTGGGCATCCCAGACACAATCTCCGATGACCTACGATGCCCTCCGATTAATCGGAGGCGTCCTCCGAATAATCTGAGACTAGTCGCAAGATTCTGTGTGGGATTGGAAAATCAGGTTGAGATTCAATGTCTGCGAGTAGTCTCCAGCGCCCTCCAACTGAATCAGAGGCGCCCTGCGACGATTCGTACGCTTTATGTGATCGTCTCCGACGAATCTTACGGTGGAATCGTAGTAAATCGCTGTGTATATAAGGGCCGGATCGCTAAAAGTTTGAGACGCTCTTGCTGCAGGAAGCTGTGACAGAAGATTTTGAAGATGCCAAGGGGAGGACCAAGGGGAGGAGGCAGGGGAGGAGGCAGAGGAGGAGGAAAGGGGAAAGCAGGAGGCAGGGGGAAGGCCAAAAACAGGCAGCCAGAGACCCCAGAAGAGGAGCAGGCTGCCCCAGAGGTGCAGGATCAGGAGAGTGGAGACAGATCTGAGGAGGAGGAAGAGGTTCTAGAGAGGCCTGATGCCAGTGACCATGAGGAGGAGGAGGAGGAGGAGGATGGAGTTGTGCAGGATGATGGAGAAGCATGGGACAGGTACAGGACAGTGTACAGAGAGAAATACAGATGACCAAGGTCAGAAAATCCTCCTTTTCCCCCACATATACCCAGGGGGAAAAAGATTACAAGAAAAGACGCTTGCAGATAACGTCTCCGATCGCCTCCGATGCAATCGGAGGCTAATCCCACGATTTTTCGACAAAACCGGGTCAAAATCCTTGAAAAAATCTCAGACGATGTGACTGCTCCACTTTTATTAGGATTATTGCCAGGATTGTTCAAGGATTCTTTATTTTCTACGACGACCCCCGGCCAAAACTAATCCCCGACAGATCGTCGACATTGTGACTGGGCCATAAATACACTTGTATACAAAGTTTTATCAATGCAAAACAAAAACTGTAAAAGTTAATTACACACACACACACACATATATGGTGAGTGTTAAAAAACAGGAGAAGTTGCTAACAGGACTGCAGGGGAAAAGATACAAAATATCTTGAGTGCAAAGGTTAACCTTTTATATGACATCACTTCATTGAGGTTTTCCTAAAAACTACATATTTAATGTTTCATTTGCCAAGTTACTTATGATAATTCATTAGGTGAATTACGTTACTTTTGAAATAGCGTAAGGTAATGGCGTTATAATTCATTATACATTGGTTATGACTGTTGTGCCTGGGGTGTGTGAGAATATGTCACAGAGTATTGGTACAGTGCTGGTGGGTTTGTCTGTCAGTTTTTGTGGAGGTTTGCATATAAGTAGCTGTGTATACTGATTACTGAGTCCATGCTGCAACCTACTGATATGGGAATACGACACCAAACAGTTGCATATGCAGATATAGGGTAGAACAAATCGAGATAGCCAGACATTTGGGTGTGTACAGGAAAATGTGCATAGAATCTTGAGAAGAAGGTCTGTGACAGGAAATGTGATACCTGCTAAATCTACGGGTAGTCCACGAAGTGGAAACGCCAAAAGTGATTTTGTCATCATTAACCTGGCAAGAAGAGAGCAGATCAAAATCTGCTAAATTCATTGCCTTGGAGCTACAGGCCCAACATTTGGCTTGATTGTCTCAGCAATGGTAAACCCCAGTGTTATCAACATCATCAAATCAATCATGCAGTCACACCTAACTCAATGTCCAGTAATCAGTTTATGAATATTTGAGTAGTTTTTGTCAACGTTCGCTATAAAACCGAGCGTATACTGGCTCTGGGTGCAGTCACGTTGCTGTTCTCAGAATGTAATAGGGTAAGCTATGTAGAATGCTTTGGGTATGTACATTTAGTTGTTGATTTATTTCGATATGAAAATTATGGTAAACCGTTATCACCTATTTGTGGTTAATTAAGTCAGGTGGTATTTGTATTTAAGTGATCTTTTTTATATCAAAATCATATACAGCTGACATGTACAATATCCTTTTAGATGATTCTGTTTTTCCTGGCTGTCATGTAGCTGTACTGTATGCTTTTAAGTTGTCAAATGGTGTTTGAGTATAAGATACCATAACCATATGATATTATAGTTTCATACATATGATATATACATCATACATGTGACATATGTAGTTGTATGATCTTGCGAGGCAATTGTGCAAGGTTCTTGTTTAAAACTACAGCTAATTTACTTCCAATAGCAATTGGTGACTGTTATAAATATCTACATATTTCTAAGTTTTACTTCACCTGCATTTAAAAAGTTCACATCTTTTTGCAGTTTTCATTCCGCCTGAGAGTGAATGTGCATTTCAGTCAGTAAAGGAGTTTAGCTATAAATATCACTACTCATGTCTTTCTTTCATTATTTCAGGCAAGAGAAATCCAGTGGTGGAGGGGCCAGAGGGTTGGTTAATAACAGCCAACTCTACAGCCTGGATGACAGAAGACCTCATGATGGAATGGGTGACCAAAATCCTGAAGGTGTATACTGAGCGACGGCCTTCTCTCCTCGTAATGGATGCCTTCTCTGCGCCTACCACCGAGAGGGTGGCATGTGCACTGCAGCGAGTGGCAGCAAAACCAGCAATAATCCCTGGAGGATGCACCTCAAAGGCCCAGCCCCTAGATGTGTCATTGAACAAGCCGTTCAAAGGCCATCTTTGGAGGCTGTGGTAGGAGAGGATGCGCAATGATGTCACAGCTGCGAAGGGGCACATCGACCAGCTGAAGACTGCCAGTAAACAAGAAATAGTTGACTGGATCAAGGCTGCCTGGGACAATGTCCCCGCAACCATGATCCAGAAGTTTTTCTCTATTACTGGCATCTTGAAGTCATTAAGGGGAGACGGTGGTGTTTCAGTGCCGGAGAGCGACATACCAATGCTAGAGAGCGATAGCGACAGCGACGGAGAGGAGTTCATGGGGTTTCCCACAGAGGACATTACGGATTGCAATGATCCTTTTCAGGACTTTTTGTAAAAGACAACATCTATTATCATACTTTTACCCAGGCCTAATAGTTATGCACAAGGCAGAATTCAATTGAAGAAAGTGTTTAGTAATGTAGACAAGATGTGACTCCCAAAGCATTACCGTTAAGTGTTAACATTGCTCTATAAAGAAGTTTACGCATATCACATTCCTTTTAAGGACTTTTTGTAAAAGACAATATCTATAATCATACTTTTACCCAGGCCTAATAGTTATGCACAAGGCAGATTTGAAGAAAATGTATAGTAATGTACACAAGATATGACTCCCAAAGCATTACAGCTAAGTGTTAATATCGCTCTATAAAGAAGTTAACGCATATTTTTTTTTGTTTTTGTAAGATACAACATTCTTGTTTGAAATAAATAAAAGGCCAGGATTTGGTGTGTTTTTAATTACTTAATTTGGGTTTTTTAATTAGGTTATGCATCGGCATTATTTCAGTGATTGTTTCCACTTTTTTTGGGGGTTCTGCGGGTTTATTTATCTCCTTGGGTAAAAAAATAATAGGGACATAAAATTAAATTAATATAGCTTATTATTTAATGCACAATTACAAAATTTTAACCAAAGTGAGTCTTTCCTTGCAGCAAAATATCGCTTGGGGAAATTTAGATATGGGAAGTACATGGTGCGGGGGCATACAGATGAGGGGCAATAACGGCCCAGGGGAATATAAATATAAACATTACCATCTCCCATGTTTAGAAAATAATTTGGCATTGCCACATTTGCGATTTATTTATTTTTGGCTGGGTACTATCGGATAGTACAAAATTGTTTAAAAATTTTAACAGAGGAAAGATGTTCTTTAAAGCACATGGAATGACTTGTCTTGAGTGACACAAATTACTACTCCCGGTAAGAAGAGCGTTTTCATGGATGACTCAAACAATCCGTCTTGGAGGTCTTTATTTTTGTAATTCGTTCAATTCCACAAAAACCATGTTGCTGAGAATATAATTATATATTTTTACCCGTTGTTTGTATCACTGGCCACAGTTTCGTTACCGTCTCAGTCGTTTTTGCGCAAGATCTTCAAATTGAAATGTCTGGAACTCTTTAGCAGATGGAAGGAGGCCACTGGCAATCCCAATGTTTATTTTGTTTGCTCTAAGAAGTGGATTGATGACTGGATGACAGAATACAGATCTAGCGTATCGTTAAAACATCAAAACAAGAGGTTTGCATTGGGCCAAGAAGAAAGGGTGGCTGGATTAAACGAAGGGTTCATCTCCGCTGCTATAAGAGAGTTTTTCCCATCCTTATCAACTGTAAAGAGCAGTGAGAAAATGTTTGAACAGCCAAGATCCTTCGCCAACAGATGCTTTGACAATTACAAGAGAAAGAGGACACATGCCATTAACGTGGAGGAAGAGATTGCAAAGAAGCAATTTACAGAGAGTGGAGCAGGAAGGAAATAAGGAATGTTTAAAAAAATGGGAACTATGTCACAAAGCAGAAGGGTAATCTGACAGTTACAGTTTGGAGGGACAAAAGAAACTTGTGCATTATTTCTTTATGGAGAAAATTGCAGCAGAGTGGGATTGAACTTGAATGTTATTCAGGGATAAGTGATGAACATTTGATGGACGTTATGATGCAGATTTATCATGATCATCCTCACTGTGGGGTAACCATGATGATGGGGCATTTACGTTCCAAAGGCATCATGTAAGGTTTATTTTAAGAGAGCTAGATCCAGTTAATTCAACAATGCGTTGGGGCCTAAGGGCCCAGCAGAATACCATGAATTGTGGGGACGTGAATGAATGAAGCCACAGGGATTATTTTAGTAGATGTCAGTCCGTAGTCTTGAACAAGAACCCTGATGAAGAATAAATAGTTGTCAATAATAAAAGACCCAGGTGTGTTGAATCAAGTACTGTTCAAGCGTGCCACAAATGCCAAGCCCTAATTGCCTGTCAAGGTCACAAACCAATATCCAGGATAATCAGGATAATTAACCACTATTGCAGTTTTGTGAACACAAAGTTGCCTTATGGGCTTACAACCAACAAAGAGGATATTTGTGAACCTAAAGTTACCTTGTACAGGCCCTGAACCTTGAAATTTACATTAGGAGAAATAAGAGTAGCATATTCTGGTATAGATAAAGTATGAGGTGCTGAGCTTTACGCAAAATAGAGCAGATAATTGGCGAGGCGAAGCCTAGACAATTATCTGCTCTATTTTGCATGAAGCTCAGCGTCCAGTGCTTTATCTGGCTTAAAGCACGGTTCATTAACCCTGGTACTGACTAATTAAACTGAAAGGTTGTCACTTTGTCGCAATGGGGCACCCGAAGCGAGTTGGGTAACACACGGTCACACCTATTGCGCCTCTGTCATGCAGTAGGTAACAACGCAGAAGTAACAATGGAAAACAACGTCTCTCTTACTCAACTGATGGAAATTCCAACACAAACTCTCTTTAAAGTTGACATTTCAGATGAGCAGCCAGAGAGGTTTGAGAAGCCATTGACTAGTTCTGAATTTTCTCAGAATTTGGCAGCCAGAATACCAAACAAAACTCAAGCAAGTACACAATGGGCCATAAATCTGTTTAGTGACGGCAGACGTTAAATCCCTCACCACGAAACAATCCCACTGGCCCATCCCTTGTTTAAAGGATCGGGCACTAGAAGCTGGGTATCACTCTGACTTTAACTGCAAAGAGTAGCTTATCCCAAAAAAAGTAGCTTATCACATAAGATGATCAATCATGTTTGAAGATATCTACTGACAAATTAGAGTGCAATATTAAACAACTCAATACATTGAGAAACCAGATTGGTGGGGAGAAGACATTGATTATGGATGTAGTCTATAAGGTAGAATTTAGAATGATCAATTGTATAATCAGATCCATGTGGTATTGGATGTCTCAACTTCATGACCTCATTCCAACAGATTTGTGTCCTGTGCAAAATTTGGCCATAAAAAACCTAGTTTAATACCGATTTTTTTTAAAGTTTAAATTTGCCTTAATATCCTAATTTACCACTTCAGATTTAGAGCACTTGTCATTTTCTCTACTTCATGGTACTGTGTATGAAGCATGTGTTGAGCTTTTTCTGTGTCACTGCCTCCTAGCCAGTCTTCATACAGCTGATGTATATCATTACTTTGAAAAGGAGTCCTAGTTTCTAAAGAATTGTAAAGCTCATCTACTCTCTGCAGCAGTTCTTTAGAGGATTCTCCATCATCAGGCCGAAGCTGCCCACCACCATTGAGGCATCCTGTGAAGACAAGATAAGAATTATTAGTAATTTCAAACTTTGTATCACTTCCATTTAATTAGTTGATGCTGAAAACTCTTTTAATCTGGACACAGCATTTTCCCCTCCTCTGTAACTCTGTAGACTGTAGTTTCAGCTTTTTCATGAAATTACCCCAAAATCATTCATACTAGATTCAATTTTAATAGAACTTTACAATACCAGTATATGTATTATTACAGTCAAGATACTTTAAATGATATCATCTTATTTATATTAATAAATATGTATCTTCACAATTAATCCATAATGAGTGCATTAGCCCCATATGTTTTCAGCCAGTGCATAAGGTACTACCAAAGGTTTGCTCACCAGATGGACATGCCATTATCTCCACAAAGTGATACTGACATTTCCCCCTTTTGATTTTCTGGACAATATTTTGAATATTTCTGAACCCATAAGCCAAGGCAAACTTGAGTTCTTCTTTTCCATCCACTTCCAGTGTCACTTCCTTGAAATCCTGGTTCCTGATATAAATAAGGTAGTAAATTTACATTATTTAATTATGCATGATGTAAAAGTAAGAAAAAGTATCAAAAGAGATTAAAACTGATGCAATAGAAAACATCAACCTGAATCTATCCATGAATTGTTTCTTATTATCTTTTAAGTTATCTTTTGATCTTCTTAAAAATTCCAATAAACTTGTAATGATAAAAATCACATTTTTCATTTTAACACACCTCAAGGTTTTGTATGACAGATGACCTATATGTGTTCCAAACAACTCCTGGGCAGCATATTTATAAACATGTTCTAGATATCCTCCAGACCCCCCACCAGGATGACCATAAAGTTCGTTAGACTGGGGTGAGAAGCTGCAAATAAAACCTTATAATGTAAATGTACAACATGGTGTGCATCGATGTATATTTGCTAATAATGGTAAAATGCATTGACTCCAACAGCATTTCCAGATGTTAATGTTACAATATGAATATGCTTGATGAAAGGAACAGCCTTTGATTAAAAAGACAGATTGACATAAATAACAATTTAAAAACATATTTAGGAGCTTCTTAAAAAATATACTTACAGGGAATCACAGGGTTCTTTGCAAGGCTCTACATCAACCAGGGATATTCCTTCCACATCTAACATTTTGTCCACTTCACCTGGAAAAAGTGTCTTAGACACATCAGAGACAACACAAACACTGCCAATGTGAGAATGACAGCACAACTTGTGTAACTCTACCTTCTAAAAGTGACATTGAAGCCAATTACTGCAATAAAAAAAATACATAATTGACAGCAATTACTTCTTTTTTATCCTTACCTAAAACAATCATATGCAATGAACACTGTATCTAAGTCAAATACATATATTTGCCCTATTGTGGAGTCATTTTATGTAAAAACTAGAAAAGCACTCAGAGAGCGCAGACCCCCGCCAAGGCAGCAAAGTCTCCATTCAATGCTGTTTCACCCCTAAATTTTCATTCTATAATGATTTAGTTTTTTGATTTTTGATTATTGATTGATTATTGATCCAGATCACCACCAAAAACTAATCATCTGTTCCTTGGCCCACTTCTGACAGTTCCTGAAAATTTCATCAAAATAAGTCTATAACTTAGTTTTTTTTATTATTGATTATTGATTGATTATTGATCCAGATCACCACCAAAAACTAATCATTTCTAAGTCAACCCAAAACCTGAAAATTCCATCGAAATTCATCCATAACTTTTTGAGTTATGTTGATGACAAACAGACAGACAGACAAACAGGGGTGAAAACATAACCTCCTTGGGGGAGGTAAAAAAATATTAGTTACCTGTACTTATAACACAGTCTACGTCTCTAGTCCTGTATACATCATTATAAAAGTCTTGCCTGGATGCTTCTAGCTTTTTATCATAACATGGCATGACAGTTACATGGTAGATTTGATCTGGAGTTTTACCATGGCGTTTAGCTAAATAGTCTTTTACAAGGGAACCCATAATCTGTTGTGGGGATTTGGTTGTACTAATATATGGGAGAATATAAGATCCATGTGTTTTCTCAGCATAGCAGATCCACCCTAAAAACATAAGAAATAGACTTGTTTTATCACCTAGCTTAGTGTCACAGGTATTTGTATACAACAGAATAATAAATATATATCAGTTCTGAATAAATTATATTAAAATATATAACTTGTCATAAATTTCATTCACAATATTACATTATACTAGATACTATTTTCCACATTTTTTATATTTTATATATTGTGAAGCCACCATCGCTTCATGTTAATGTCAGAACGATTATCAACCAAAATCAACCAAAATGTGCAACTTTTTAAAGAATTCAATCTGTCAATTTTTTGCTATATTTACCTGGACAAGCTGATGCAAGCATTGGTATTGCACTTTTTTGTGTGTCTCTAGCTTTGTATCTCCTTATGAATTCTTTACCACTTTCAATCAGGCTGAACTCCCTTGAGAAGCTGGTGTCAAAAACTAAATCTACACCTGTAAACAAAAGAGAACTATAACTGATTAAATCAAGGAAACATGATGCCTATGTAATTATCTTTTGATCAAGTTTCTATTACCATGTAAGTATTCCGAACTGTATAGAATAAAATTGATATGCAATGAAGTATTCTTAAAATGCTTTCATCTATTGGAAAAAAATAAAACATATATATATATATTATACCTAATCTTTTGAAAAACCCATTTATCCTCTGTGCAGCTTCCACAATTCCTATTTTATATTTGGCTGCCAATGAAGCCCTTGACTGGGGGCACACTGACACCACCACAGTCTTCTTCTTGTCAGCTGAACCTTGCTGCTTTGTGAAATCAAAATATTATTGATTACAAAAAATAAGCAATGATGCAATACTTATTGACAGTATAGTTTTAAAAATACACTGAACTCCATTCCATATCAGAACATGTTTCCAAATATGTTTAAAAATTCAGTTTTAATAAGAAATGACTAAATGACTTTATAATGAAAAATGCAAAATATGCATTCAAACTTGTAAGTGAGAAGTTAAATCAAATGATTGTTGGAGTTTCTTATTTTACCGTATCCAAATTCTTGTTTTCCTCCAGTATTCTATATAATTCATCTTGGCTCTGTTGAGTAATAAGGACGCTTTCTGCTGATGTGATGCAACCACTGCAAGCTAGACAGTCATTTAATGTGATTTTGGCTTTCTCCAGCTTGTACTCTGAGCCATCCTGAAATACATTGTACATCTACTTTTTGTAACTGGAGAACTAAGTATGGCAAATTATTACCTTACAATTAAAAGGATTCAATCATAATTGTTGAATAATTATTGTATTTCATAGTTCATATTTTATAATGATGTTAGAAGTTTATAGTTTGCAAATTAAAAAAGGTTAGGCTGACAAATTTTGTAACAAAACATACAGTGTGTACTGTCATAACATTGATTTGTCTCTTCACATAACCTGCCAAACAGGTCTAAGTCATATCTCATGGCGAAAACCACAATGTATCTGAGTATCAACCATACCTGTCCCAATTCCAAATATGACCCATCAATCCCAATTTTAATTGCTCCAGTTTTAGTGGGCTTCTTCTCAATTTTCACTGGTTTGATACATTCCTATAGACAGAGAAACAGAGCATACATTTATAAATATAAATTAAATTATATTATATTCACAAAAATGATAACTACCATTTTACATCAAACAAGAGGCATTTTGATAATTAAAAAAAATGCACGATAGATCTGGCACTGAATTTTCAAGTTCACAGAGCAAATACAAAAATTAGTGGCGACAGTGACATTTCCTTTCATTGAAATTCTATCTGTATCCATATTTTGCTAAGGCGTTTCTTTCTTTCAATTTCTTAATATTCTTTTTTAAGATTGCATGGTTTCTTGCTAAAGATTGCCTTCAACCATGCTAAGTTTCAGAGGACACTGAACACGGCCTTCTATTTTCAACTGCAGATCTCTACAAGTGGTGCTAGTTGTTTGTTTTCACAAAACACAATTCCATCACTTTGCCTATTGCATATACATATATTTTACTCTGCTTGAGAAAATCCTAGAGGCAAACTTAAGTTTGCATGGTTCTGCTCCAGCGTGGGTAAGGGTACCTAGTGTGTAAAGCCAAAAAATGAGACAAGTCTCAATTGATGTGGAATTGCGTGGTTAACTACTACAGGTGACTTGACAAGCCCAAGCCCTCCAGCACTGGTCTGCACAGTATGTGTTCACTCTACCTACCAGATATAACCTGTTGTGTAGTTGTGTAACCGTGTAGGTAGGCTTTGTGCCCAGAGAAGAATTTCATCAGCTGTGTTATGTTGTAAGAATAAAGTAAATTTTTCTTCAATCAACAGCTATAATTTACCTCCAATATTCCGATTTCTAAAAAAGTCTGCTGAAGCTGCTCTGTTAGACATAGAAATATTGGAGGTAAATTATTTCAATTATAAGCTGTTGACTGAAAAAAAAAATAAATAAATATTCTTGGGCTTCGTGTCCGCAGTTCAGTGGTAGGGAGTACTTCCAGTGTTTTAACACTTAAAAGGTTGCCTGAGATCAATTAATTACTTTTGTACTATTTTTCATATGATGAAAAACAATTTCTCTCAATATCGTAATGAACTTTACCTGTGAAGGCGTGATAAAATCATCTAAATCGGTCAACTGCAGTGCTCCGCTAAATTTAGAAGCCATGACAGCTAGTCTGCGGGAAAGTATTATTTTGACCAATCCAGTGCAAAGACTTGTGATATCACGGCCGGCTTCTGAATCTGGGCCATTACTTCCGGTTTAAGGAAAAGAGTTGCTGCTCTTGTTGATTTCATGAAGAAGGGACCAGATAACGCTAGCGGAGGGAATGGGGGTTCTGATCCGGTGATATTAGCCACTGCTGGATATGACCACACGATTAGATTTTGGCAGGCACATAGTGGAATATGTCACCGAACAGTTCAACACCCGGACTCCGTATGTACATGTACTTAGCACGAAATTCATGTGTTCACTCCTGTTGACAATTTTTATATGTACTCTGTCAACACGGCGTATGTATGAAATTGTCAGTAGGTGTTAATGCATGGATTTCGTGCTACGTATGTACTGTACCTGAATAATTGCTTTTATAAATGAAAATCCCAAACACCATTTTCTTTTTCTAAATTATGCCATAATGTAAAAAAAATAATCAGTGGAAACATTCATCAGTTGTAAGAAAATTGAAATATCACAAACAGACATACTTTAGAGAATAATAATAATTTAACATGGCATTTTATTCTTATCAAATGCTTTAAATCTGCAAATCTCGCAATCATTGATTTTAACGTCATGTATCATTTTACTTTGCAGCAAGTAAATGCGTTGCAGATAACACCAGACAAGCAGCTGATTGCAGCTGCAGGTAATTGATTGTGCATACTACCACTTATAATTCTACCAGAAATAATAAACGGAATGCAGTACAATTAAGTCAACATTTTTGTTTTACCTATTTCATTTTATTTGGATAAAAAGCCTATTCATGATTGACACCATCCTCATTGCATGATACTGACATTCATTCACTCTAAATCACTATTACTAATATATTCTAAATTATTTTCGTGAAAATGTTTCTTTCTGCTGTATATGATCAAACTTCAGGGTATCAGCACATCCGTATGTATGACATTAACTCCAACAATCCCAACCCAGTGATCAATTATGATGGGATAACTAAGAATGTGACTGGGGTGGGCTTCCATGAAGATGGCAGGTGGATGTTCACAGGAGGAGAGGACAACTCGGCAAGAATATGGGATTTAAGGTGATTTTAATATATTATCTTGATAACAAAGACATTAATAACAAAGCATTTGTCCTATTACCTCAGTGTCACCATTGTTTTTATAACTTTTCATACAATTTTCATGTTACAGGTCACGGAATCTACAGTGCCAAAGAATATTTCAAGTCAATGCTCCAGTAAACTGTGTTTGTTTACATCCTAATCAAGTAAGTGAAACATGCATGCATTCATGAAGGAGAGCCACATATAATACACTTGCAACCAGACTATCCAATATAGTATTCATTAACAATAATTATTATAAGCTTTGCAATATTGTATTTATGCGTAATGGCACCAACAGGCTACTTAATATACATATGTGTAAATGAATAAACCTGTGAGAGAAATTAAGAAAGATTTTTTTAATGTTACTTATATATATATATAAGAGACACTTTTTTGTTGCAGGGAGAACTGTTTGTTGGAGACCAAAGTGGTGCTATACACATATGGGATCTTAAAACAGACCATAATGAACAATTGGTAAGTTCTTGAGTACCTACTCAGTAGATTGTTCACTTGTTTTGGCATTTTTCTACTTTGATGATATGTAATGTACACATATTCTACCATTGGAATGTTTTTACTTTTTGTCACCAGATCCCAGAGCCAGATGCTGCAGTGCAGTCCATCAGCATTGACCCAGAGGGAACATACATGGCTGCTGTTAATAACAAGGTTCTATATAATTTCATAACTATGTTTGTAGAGAAATAATTCAATGATATTCATGAAGCTCCTCAGCATATACTTATTTGTTTAGGTCAAAAAGATTAAATTGTGAGCAAAAACAATAAAATGTTGGTGAAATATAATTTGGGGAATGGTACTTTTTTCTGCAAGGACAAATACAGATACTGCTGTGATTTTATATATGTGTAAAGATAGGTACAAAATTTGTGCCATTTATGCCAGAAATACAAAACAGATAACAAGTGCATTGTGATCCACAGAATGTCAGAATGATTTCTCTGGTATGAAGGTAATACTAGCATTTCTATAGTTTTCATATATCATTTTTGTTTGTGAACCAATATAACTTGTATTGGTGACTAAAACAATGCATTTCATCATACATAATGAACAACTTTTTTTATATAGGGAAATTGCTATGTTTGGAACTTAACTGGAGGAAGAGGAGATGAACAAACACAGCTTCATCCGAAAACAAAAATACAAGCACACAAGCGATATGTTTTAAAATGTTTATTTAGTCCAGATTCAACGTAAGAATTGATTACATTTTGTATTATAGAAAAATTCCAGTAAATTGTAGCATGTTTTTCTAAGAGTTTTGCAGATATCAAAAGCCAATTTTGATGCCATAGTGTAAATGTAGTTGTCTATTTTTTATACTGTAATATCAATATTTCAAATGGACCTCCTAATTTAAAAATGCTTCCATTATTTATAGAGGAAAATGTACACATGGCTCTGTGTTTGAAAGGCCTAAGAAAAAATTTTGTGTTTAATATGTTAATTGTGTTGCAGGTTACTAGCCACCACATCCGCAGATACCACAGTTAGGATATGGAAAACAGCAGACTTTTCTTTGTACACTGAGCTTAAAGAGAACACACAGAGATGGGTTTGGGACTGTGCTTTCAGTGGAGATTCTCAGTACATGATTACAGGTACATAATAAATTTTCACATTGGACCCATTTCTACTATACTGTATAGTAATCTGAGTTCAATTTTTTTCGTTTGGTAATTAAGACTACCCAGCTTACAATGGAATACTGTAATTATGACTTGGAAATCATGCAACACCAAAATTGAATTCTGTCAAATGTTGACACTAGTTATCATTTCAGTCTTTAATTCTATGACATAAATGAAAGATACCCAGTAAGTTATTGCTATCCTGTAGCTTACATTATGGTGAACAGTGTAACAATGCAGTCTTGCATAGTCTGACTCAAGCTAATAATATGGGTGAGACAATTGCAGTCTTTTTCACATCTACTGCAATTAGATTGAAACTCACCAGGTGACCATACTGGACTTGTTTACGTTAAATCTTCCTCATTTTTTGCAGCATCTTCAGACAATATGGCCAGGTTATGGAACGTGGAGACTGCACAGGTGAAAAGAGAGTATGGAGGACACCAGAAAGCTGTCATTAGTCTGGCCTTCAGGGATGATGTAGAATAACTCTGGGAGATGTGGAAAAACACTTGAGGATTATACCATATTGAAAAAGAAAAAGGGAATGACCTGTGTAGACTTTTTAAATAAACAGTGTTTCCAGTTGGGAAATTACCTTTTTTAAGGACAGGTTAATTTCGTACAGTAATTACTTAAAGGGTTCTGTAACTCACTAGAGGTTTTGTGAGAGAATTAACATTGACATAATCAAATTATGAACTGATGGTAGTCTGTTTACAAAAGCAATGGCTGTTTTCAAATGCACTTCTGTGGCTTACCAGCTGAAAGCCAGTAATGAGTACAGTGGCATTTCTAACATTAAAAAGGTGTTTACCTAATATGACTTTGTTTTGAATATTATAAAAAATGTGAAAAGTGTACATTTTTTAATGTTGTCTATGAGTTATTATAGTGCATATTTTATGAAAGAACTATTGGCATTAAATCATCCCTGCAAGACGTTTTAATCACCACAGAATGGTAAATCAGTATAAAACATAATAGTAATCATAACTCTTGTGATTCAAGATAACTTATAATAGATATTAAAATTAATTGATATCTGAAATATAGTTACTGAATATTTACTGATTTATTTTACTACAACATATTTGACAAATTTCCAGTGCCACCAAAAAGTTGTCAATTGAGAATTAGTCAAAAATTTAAAATGTCCTCAGATGAATGACACGCCTGTACCTTGGTCACATCCAGAACAAGTTGATGTTTACAACTGTTAACAAATGGAATTATAGGGTTTTAAGATACTTTTTATACCCTTTCATTATATTTTCATTCTAGGCTTGTTCTTTGCATATGTCTGCATGGAATATGATTAACAGATGTTGATGCACAGCAGGCCCGTAGCCAGCAATTTCAAAAGGGGGGGTTCTTTTTCTGAAAAAGTGGACCTTTTTCCATAAAAACTTCATGTACCTAGATCAAATTTCACCCAGAGTGGACCTTTTCCCAGCAAAAGGAGCGGTTCTTTCGTCCCCCCGAACCCCCCCTGGCTACAGGCCTGCACAGGAAATTTTTTGAAAACCCCAGCACAGTTTGGTGTGGATTGGCTGTCATGAAGCAGTTGGCATCTAGATGTGATGGTTTAGGTCTTCAGGATGATTGTCATTTGGAGATATAGGGATTTGCTTTAACTTCAAGCAGCATGAAATAAAGAAAATGTTTTTTTTTTTTTTTTTGACACTGCATAGGGTTATTGGATTCTAAAATATAAAATTCATATCCGTATCCAAGGATTTTCACACATGTTCAATTTAACAGGACTTGCCACCTCTACTCCAATTAGCAGCAACTGAATATGTGCTTGTACTTCCTTGTTGAAAGACTCCACAGCAATGATGGAGTGCATGAAATGAATCTTTTTGTTTCATCTTTAGATACAACAATCAATATGTAATTAAAAGGGATAATAACTCTTCGTATGAGATCTATGAGCGCATTCACATCGAGAAGAGCCGAGGCTCTAAAAAGCCAAGAACTAAATATGGCAGACATACATGAAAGGAAAACCTCCTAATCCTTTAATGGTCTCTCCGCGGGTGTACAGTCATTAAATCTCCGCTCAATTGGGACGACGCGTGGGGAGGCGTGTGAGAGGCGGAGAGACTATATTAAAAGATTAGGCAGTTTTCCTTTCATGTACGTCCTCCATATTTAGTTCTCGGCTTTGTAGAGCCTCAGCTCTTCTCGATGTGAATGCGGCCTATATTTCACAATAAAAACATTGTAAACAACTCACAGAAATGTAATATATTCTGTTTTACCACAAAAACAGCAGTTATAGCTATTATTCTGATATCTGAGCTTGTCAAATTATTTAGGCCAGATTTCATCTTTTTGAGCATTCGAACATTAAATAGACATGAAAGAAATGAATAAGCATTTACTTCTGGCCTCTTGCTTATTTTGGTATTAATAAGAAAGATTACGAGCATATTTCATCGTTTGAACTCCTCTGCAGTCTTAAGATGGGTTGTAGGCAATGTTTTTTCTTTTGTCTCTTTCAGTGCTTAAAACGTACTTTTCATTGATTTATGCCAGACTTGGTAAATTGTAGCCAAATATCCTCATGTACTCAAAGTGATCCTCACTACTGATAAAGAAAGATGTTACCGTCGCTTGCTTTGAAACGCCTTATTTCGATTTTTGGCTGTAGTGTTTTAATCTCACAAAAACAGTTGTCAATAGGAAACGTGGGATAGTTTTTTTTAATCTCACAAAGAGAGTTGTCAATAGGAAACGTGGGATGGAGAATAGGATTAGAGGCTATTTGACACCACGGTTTTTAAACTAAACCTTGTTCGTATTCAAAAGGAAGGTGCCCACGCGCTTTGTCAAATCGGTTTACCGTTCTGTCTGCTGGTATTGAAATTGAATTTGTTTTCCCCACTGAATCCGGCCGTTTAGTCCGTTAAGTTACCAGTGCGTTCCACACAGACACTCTATACTTCCCATGGGTGCTTGCCGTTTTGGTTTTCTGATAATAAGGGCGCATTCACATTGTCCCAAGATGAAACGAATGTGGTTCAGTTTATCTGACGTTTTCATTGTTCATTGATACCAGCCGTATGCCATGTAGGCGATTTACTTCATGCATCTTGGGAAGAGAGCGCTATACATAGCTCTACACTCAACCGCATCATGCTGTGTTTTCTTGAATGAGACCACTGTGTATCTATTCTGTAGGGACATTGCCTGAGTCAGGGCATATCAATTCCACGCAGATGTCTATAAAGTATGACAAAATCGTGTTAAACGTTCCCCCCATGCACAAATACATCGATGTGATCCATCATCAGCTTCATGATCGGGCTAAGTTCACCCAGGCTATATAAACTTTGTTTTTAACATTAAAAGAATCGCTTACTTTGGATGACATATTTAATTGATTGCTACTGGTTAATTAGTCTGGAATGGAATGAATAATTTACTTAAGGGTTTCACCCTAGGGAACGCTGAAGCGGAAGACTTTGTAAGCGGATTGTTTCTGTTCATTCATGAGAATGATCGGTATGAGCGGGACGATTATTTCAGGGCAGCCGGTAGATGAAACGGTTCTTATTAATTGTCGCCCTAGACATGTCTGAACAATATTTGATAGTGACATGATAGTCACGATCCACCATGCCAGTCACGCTTTCGTGTCAGCCTTGAAAGGCTTTCATGTACTGGAATGGCGTCAAGGCAATCCTGTGGAACGCAAAGAAAGTAGATTTCATTTCAATTGAATTCAGTCTTTAATTTTGTGAAAATCCTTAAAATATTCGGTTGTCTTTAAAGGAACCCCTTCTGTCTTTTTGTGACCAAGGCGAAGGTTCTGAACAAAGTTAACCAACAAAACGTCCGAAACGTAATGGTGCTGGTATTTCTTACTGATAACACAACTGCGCTATCTAAATAGTTACTGTACAAAACGCAGTTTTAATTCGTGCTGGTTGTCTTGGGGCCAACGTTGTTTGTTCCCATGTCTATCCTGCTACTTTCATTTCCTGATCTATGGACCGTCTCCAGATTTTCTTTCATATTCCTCATGCCTTGTGGTGTCCACCTCATCGCCATCTTTCTGATGGAATCTTGGATGTAAATCTACAAAAATTGAAAGACTTAAAGACAAATTGAATGATAAACGGAAGATGTGGCTGTAAAAGATCTGGAAGATAGCTCATAAATAAAAAGGGCTTTGATTATGTTTTTAAAACAAACAATACCCCATAAATAAGAATTGTTTTTGACAAAAAAGATTTTCAGTAATTATACTAGTACTCCCTGCTTTATTAGAAACCAAAGCTAGGACAAGCTACTCGTATTCCCCTTTTTTTTTTCAATTAATGACACAATGTGTATCTAAAAGATTATGCCAATGACAGATAGCTCACAGAAAATGTGTGATAATAATAGCAAAGAAGCAGAAGGATGGGAACATATATTTGCTTGTCCGATAAACGATTAACTGTGGTTACCATGGTACCTTTTAATGGTTATTGTTGTAGATGTGCCTATACGCCAGAAAACCCTGCATTCAATTCATGACACGTAGGGCTGTTTGACAGTAATGAGTAAGCATTATGCTTCTATAGGTTCAAAATGTGATTACAACAGTTATATTCAAAACATTGGAAACGTAGTTGCATGCATGGTTTGAAAATACGTTTCGTTCATTATTTTTCAACTTCGAAACCATGTGGTCTATCATAAAATGCTAGTTAGTAAGTTAAGGATATGCTTTTGAAACAATATAGTATAGTTTTTCGACCAAGAACGCGGAAGCAAATTGTGCTAATAGGAATAGCATTACCGGACATTACAATTGATTTTGGTTGTTACCTTGTTGGCATACCAGATCATTTGCGCTATTAGATATTTCTCTGGCAAGCTTAATGGAAATACCTCTGCTTCAGGTACTATTTAAAGTGGCTCAATTAAAAGTAAATCCATTTAGATATAGCGTGAAACTGTTTGAGTGAGCTTGACTCATGCAGAACCAGATAAGGTTGGTTTTGTTACGCATGAAGCACTTTAAGATCTTTGTACACAACAGGCTGGGTTTTATTTGCATAACTAAAAGGTCTTCAATTTGATGAAACATGGACAGACACCGTAACAAAGAACATATTCTTCACTTCCATTAATAAGATCAAATTCAAATACTAACTTGATTAATGATGGTCCAGAAATGGTAAAATCAACTGTTAAGTCGGTGATACAAATGTGTCGCATCTAAGATTTTCAAGTACATAAGATCTGAGACCATAATTATGTTGTTCCGAATTAACTATGTAATTATGTTGTTCGCAAATGAATCTAATTAACACATATCTTTTGCAATTCATTAGTATCTAATGACCTTCACTATATCCCCCCCCCCCCCACCCCCTTAAAAATTTACATGGTCGTTTATAAAATATTTTATCTCATTACTAGGCTTATGTAGGGCGAACGTCACATGCATTCATTATATTTTTGCCTTGCGTAAAAGGCAACCTTTGATCAAGAATATTACCTTCATTATTTTATAAGCAACATGCCTATTATACAAATAGGAATATTTCACAAAAATCCCACGTTCCTTTTTGCTTCAAAGAAAAACTCTTGTGGTAAATCGTATTCTTTTCATTATCAGGTTGTTAGCTGTACTTATATGTGATGTGCTCATTGTGCTGTAGACATTGCTGTTGAAGACTTTGTTTTGCAGTCATTTTTTATCTTATTTTATTTATTTATTTATTTATTTATTTATTTATTGGTTTATTTTTTCTTACTGCTCATTGTCGACCTTGACTTATTCATTTATTCAAAACGACTTGTCCAAACGCGTTATCCAAATCATTACCTTCTTTTACCATTATACATTTTGGGTTTCTATTTTGTTTTCGACCGTTGAAGTTACTGTTTAAACTACTCGATACATGCAACGTCTAAGTCATGCTAAATATCAAAAGTTACAAATCATTCATTTTTTTTACAAAATGTCTTTTGGTTGGGATATAATTACATGTACAATAAGAAAAAATTCTCAGTGGTATCATGCGCCATTTGTGGTGCGTTTTC